AAAAATTTCAATCATCGAAAGACTATCCTCAACATAATCACGCTCAAAAAATTCTCAACTATAATTACAATCAACATTTATAGAAAAAAACGCAAATTTAGCGTTCAAGAAAAATCATAAACCACAAAATCGTTAAAAGGAATTATTTATCCATTCGAAAAATTATTCTCAATTACTACTCTAAAAAAAAAAAAAAAAAAAAAGAAGACAAATCCGAAATTTCGAAGTACACAACTTCACAAAAATTCGCCATCGAAAGAAACTATTCCATCAACAGCAGCACAGAGAACGACAAGTCCTGTTCGACGGGCCGTCTTTCATCGTCGAGTTCAGATCTCGGACCCAGGAACCAAGGTAAACACGGAGAGAAGTGGATCGGATATTCGCGGTTATGAAACGCAAATTTCGAATTCCACGGCCGGCTCCACGAGGTAGTAGCACGTATGGGCACACACAGGTATATATATATATACATATATAGAGAGGAGGATACGTTTCGACGTAAAAGGCCAAGGGACACACCGAGCAGCTCGATCAATAGCTCGAGAAAGTGGCGGCCGACGACGACCAACGTTTCTGTCTGGGCATCGATCCTCGCGTGTCCCGCGTATACGAGTACTACTTACTTTCCGTCTCTTCTCCCTACCGTCCTCTCCCTGCGTTTCCTGTATTCGTTATCGACGACCTCGGCGTCGACCTTCCTCGAGACGAGTGACACAGTGACGAGGGCAGAAAGAGAGAGAGAGAGAGAGATATAAGAGGGGATCGAATCGAGGGGGAGTTGTCGATGCTAATGACTTGTTTTAAGGGAGGTTGCAGATTTCTTGGGAGAGACATTGTTACTTGGGGAGAATACAGAGGAAATTTAGCAAAGCAAATAGGTATTGAAATTTTCTATTATTCGTGTTAATCTGGAAGTAACGATGGAAAGTTTCTTCGAAAATTTTTTCAGTTTCTCAATCTATCGATAGAACAATTTTTTTTTTTGTTTTTGGAGGTTTAAGGAGGACCTTTTTTAGAAATTTATTCAGATTTATATATGAGAATGATTTATATATTTATTTTCGTAGATCTAAAATTCGTATCGCGTTTGGGGAAAAAGATCGAATAAATAAAGTCGAAAGCAGGGGAGAGAGAGAAAGAGAGAGAGAGAGAATAAGATGGAAAATGAAATAAGAACGATTCGTCATCGGGCCACGACGTTCCCAGGATCGTTCAATCTTGCCGCGTTTCGCCAGAATTATTTCATACTCGAATTATGTTCGAGAATGCCACCCCTTCTCTGCATCCATTCGCGCTTGTCACACGAGGATGAGAATGGCGTTTCATTGCCAAATTCGGTCGATCGTGCAGTCACGATTTTCGCCTCATCCTTTATATATATTATCTGATAATATTTGTCTCTTTTGTCGTCTTTGTTC